TACGATTGTTTAGATGCCTGTTTAACTCCATACAAACTTTTGATCAATTTACACACCTTTCATTTCTCTGCATTAGGATGTCCAGGAGGTACTTCCATATACACTTCCTCATTTAGATCCCCATGAAGGAAGGCGTTGTTCACATCAAATTGATGTAAGTGTCATCCTTTTACAGCTGTTATTGCAAGTAGAGTTCGAACGGTCACCATTTTGGCCACAGATGAAAATGTTTCATGATAATCCAATCCCAGCTGCTGTGTATATTACTTTGCCACAATCCTGGCCTTGTATCTCTCCACACTCCCATCAGCTTTATACTTTACCTTATATACCCACTTACATCTTATGGCCTTCTTACCGGGTGGAAAGTCTGTAATAGTCCAGGTTTTATTCATTTCAAGAGCAACGATCTCATCATTCATCGCTTCACGCCATTTAGGTGAGGAAAGTGATTCTTGGTATGTCTCAGGTTCAGTGTTAGATGATATAGATGCAACAAAAGTCTTGTGTTTATTTGAAAATCTATGGTATGATAAAGTAGCATTGAGAAGGAAAGCTTTACCTGGAGAGATGAGTCCTTTTTGCTCTTCCAACTTCTGTGGTGAGTGAAGTGGGGTCTGTTGGCAAACATAGTCCTCCAGGTAGGTGGGAGCCCTTTTGGCTCTTGAGGATTTACGAAGTACAGAATGCTCATTTGTTGTGTTTTGATCTGATTTCAATTCTTACACTTGGGAGTTAGGTAGGGGTGATGCCACAGGATGGTCATCAGTTTCATAATTTTGATTAGAGTTTGAAGAATTTGTTTCTGACTCTATTTCTTCAGCTTCACGAAAAATAACTGAAAGGATGTGAGGGTGAAGATCAGTATTGATAAAATTGGGCTGTGACAGTTTGGTTTCCTCAAATGCACTACTGCTTTTGCAAGGGAAAATGCTTTCATGAAATATCACATTTCTTGAAATGAATACCCTTTTTGTTTCAAGGTCAAGGAGTTTATATCCTTTTATTCCAAAAGGATAACCTAGGAAGACACATCTTTTGGCTCTTGACTCAACTTTTCCTCTGTGATTTGCTAAGGTAGATGCAAAGGCAAGGCATCCAAACACTTTAAGCCGTGTATAATCTAGTTTATGTTTGAAAAGCTTTTATAAAGGTGTTTTGTTGTTTAATAGAGGTGAAGGTGTTCTGTTTATAAGGTAAACACTAGTGAGAACACAATCATTCCACTTCATTGGTATGCTACTCTGAAACCTCAAGGCTCTGGCCACATTAAGAATGTGTTGGTGTTTTCTTTCAACCGTAGCATTTTGTTGTGGAGTTTCAACATAGGTTTTCTGATGGATGACTCCTTCTTTGTGATAATATTCTCTCATCTCAAACTCTCCTCCATTGTCAGTCCTAATAACTTTTATTTGTGATTGAAATTGAGTTTTTATCATGGCACAAAATCCTTGTAAAGCAACAGTGGCATCTAATTTGTATTTTAACATATAAACCCATGTGGACCTGGTATAATCATCAACAATGGACATAAAATATCCTGATCCATCATAGCTAGTCATACTACAAGGTCCCCATATATCACAATGTATGAGATCAAAGTTGTTTTTGGATTTGTGATGACTAGTAGAAAAAGGTAACTTGTGCATTTTGGCCATTGGACGAACAAGACATGGTTCATATGCAATTCTAGGAGCATCATTAATGCCTAATAAGTCTAATCTAGAATGAGATGGATGTCCCAGCCTATAGTGCCAGAGATCAAACTTTTCAGTTCTGGTGTTAGCAACTAAATTAGTTCTTTTATTTAAATTGAGGGAAAGGACTTCTGTCAAAGCTGAAGGAGAGACTTGGCATTGCAGCAGATGGTATAGACCTTGCTTCACTTCACCCATTCTAGTAGTTTTCCAAGTCAAAAGGTCATGTACAAAACATTTTTCAGGAAAAAAATATAAGGCAACATTTAGATATTAGCGTTAACTTTCTAGCAGATATCAGGTTAAAGGAAAAGGATGGAATGCAAAGTACATCTTGTAAAATTAAGTTCTTTGTGATTTGTACAGTCCCTATATGTGTGACCTTAACTAAATCACCACTTGGAAGAAGAACAGAGTAGTTAACTTTGGCTTGGACAGAACTGAAGAAGGAGATGCAACATACCATGTGGTTTGTTGCTCCTATATCTATTATCCATGGTGCATCATGATTTCTTTTAGTCCTATTACATGTATACAGATAATGAGATATACCAGAGTGTTTAGGGATTTGTGTGTCTATTGAGGTAGATGCGGTAAGGCATTGGATATTTTGAGACTTGAGTAAAGCAAGAAGTTGTGCTTGTTGCTCTTGAGTGAATATCACTTGATTACTATTTCCAGCTTCTTCCCTTCCCTGCAAGGACACTTGATTAGCTGAGAAATTTCCCTTTCTTTGTAGCCTATGTCCAGAAGGGTGCCCATGGATTTTGAAGCATTTATCCACAAAGTGCCCTGGCATGTGACTGCAAGCCAGCTTGTCAGGGTTGGCTTTGAAGCATCTTTCTATTGAGTGTCCAGGTATCTTGCAATAGGTACAATAATATTTCCTTTATGTAATTCCATTTTGCTTTACCCCATCACTAAGCATTCCTCTGGTGGCCATTGCCATTGAGTCAGGTGTGGGGAGATCTACTGAAATTTTTTTCTTCTTGTTGGATTAAGGAGTATACTTCATTGAGAGTCAGAAAAGGTTTAACCAAAAGAATCTGAGCCTTGATTGCTTTGTAGGAATCATTCAGACCCATCAAAAATTTCATCACCCAGTTTCTTTGCTGAACAACCGGTCTCAGCCTCCCACATGTGCAATTAGGAATTGACTCATAGTTCATTAATTCATCCAACGAAGTTTTGTATTTTGAGAAGTAAGCACTTACAGGATCCTGATTTTGCGTTAGGTTGATTATGGCCTGCTTAACCTCATAAATCTGTGGAGCATTTTGCTGAGCTAGTTGGTGCTCCAGATCCAGCCAAAGTTCTCTAGCTGTCTCAGCATATAATGTGCAGGATTTTACATCAATCGCCATGGTATTTTGTAACAAAGCAATGACTATGTCATTGCAGCGAAGCTAGTATTCCATCAATGAGCTGTTAGGGTCAGTAAGCTCAGATAAACTTCCATCAATGAAGCCAAGCTTATTTTTTATTCGAAGTGCTCTTTTCATGAATCTCGCCCAAGCATAATAATTGGTATTATCAAGGACATGGCTAACTAGTATTACCAAGAACTATCACTGCTATTGATGAAATACGGGCTGCAAGGGTCACTAGGATTTTGGACAGGAAGGTTGTGTGGTGCTGGATTTGCATTTGGATTTTACTCATCATTTTGAATTGAATTTGGATCTGAGTTTGCTGATTCCATTGTAGTGTTATACACAAATCTCTGATACCATATAAGAAATACTTAATTAAGATAAAAGTTGCATATATCAATGAGGGTGAATGAAATGATCCATTTGATTCATTGATGATTTATCTGTACAACAATGTGATATTTATAATATAATGAGAAGGATCTAGAAGGAGAAAATCTCTGCTAATTTTCTATACAAATAATAATCAATTGGCTGCAAAACAGACGTGAATATTCCAACAGAAAAGAGGTGGTCCCATTTGCTCCATAACTGAATTCTGCTATCCTCTATCATCATTCACGCTAATGCCTTTCCACTGGTGGCCTTCCTAATGATGTATGATAATGCTCCTTTATTTGTAGCTGATTTTTCATTAGCTGAGCTTGATGTTTCAATAGACTTCACGGATTTGCTCTTTTCTACAATGCTTTAAGGCAGTTAGCACTCTATCTCAATATCGAATGAAATTTCGTCTCTTAGATAGGATATTCAAAGCAGGAGATTTTTCGCATGGAAAAAGCTGGACAGACGGCCTCAATGACGGGCTCAATTTTCAGGTACTGATTTGGCAGTTTTTTGTTTAAATTTTTTTAAACTGCAGAGTGCATGTGTGCTAAAATCCTTGTCTTTCACCCTGTTTGTAGCATCTCTCTTTTCGCCTTTGAATGGAGTATTTAATCTTGCAAAAAGGCAAACAATTTATAAAGATGTTCAGTGGTGACCGCTCAAACAAGCATTTTCAATAAATAGAGGTGACGTTTGGACATAAACAATCTGTCTGTTTGGGCCAGAAAAACCTGCGAAAAAGTCTGAAGGTTCAAGTTTTAAATACTCATCGGATAAATTTGATTAGTTACAATTTGGCCCAAAAAATTTAAATTTTCTGTAAAAAGAAAATATTCATGTTGAGTCTGCTGGACGATGGTGGCATGCACGCTTGTGAGTTGAACCCAAAAGCATCTAGGTCCTCACTAGTTCCACAAAACCAAACACAAATACCAAAATTGGGTCTTATAAAACCATTCAACTTTCCACTAGTTTTCCTATGTGAGACAAAGGTTTCCTTTCACAAAATTTAACTTGTCAATTTTCTATGCAATAAATAGATGGCTTTGGTTTCAAATATTTCATTGAATACTTTGATTTTTGACGAGTAAATAAATCATGTTATTCATCCTGTGGAATAGAACATCAATACACTTGGTCCCGTTAATTCCGAACTGTGTATCCCACTTAAGTTTGAGCTCAAAAACGCTCAAGATAATACCTTCCAACAAAAATTAAATAAACAAGTTTTTTTACTCGTGACAACGAAAATGCAATCAATATAAAGAATTCTTCGAAATGATTTGTGTTCAATTTTTGTGGGTCACAGTTTAAGTTCTCACTTTTCAGTTGTTCGTTTGCAATGCAGCTAAAAAGGAAACAAAATGTGCTAAGATTTTTCAAATAATTTAGTCAAGTCTAAATAAATTTATTGAGAAATGCAAGTTTGCTGTTGTTCTCATCTTATTTATTTTACTGGAATAGCTATAGCAATTAACCTCTGAACTCTTCTCTCCCCACGCGCCCCTCGGCTCCATATCAAACAACCGCATGCCACAAGATTCTAGACTTTTGGGCTCTCAAGGGGGGCTGCAAGTTGTCTTGTTCCATAATCCTGCTCTCAATCCAAAAAGGACACAAATATGAAATTCAAAATGATGTATCTAGTGATACAGACATTAGGGCTAGGCAAAATGTCCAAACCGAACCGAACCAAACGATTTTTCTTAAATGAAATACCCAAACGGGTATCCAAATCAAGAACCGAATGGTTCGGTTCGGTTCTCGATTCTAGACCAGAACCGAATAAGAACCGAATTTTTTTTTAAATATTGGATAAATCAATTTCTTTTTTTTAAATAAATTAATAATTGTTTTCTTGTTAAATCTTATCAGTTGAACAATTTAGAGTTTATTTATCTTTGTTAATTGTGTTTTTTTCAATTTTTTCTTGTATACTTTCTTATTAGTTAGTATGGAAAGTCAAGCAACTGATGATTACATTAAATAGTTTGTAAATATTATCAATACTTTAAAATATTTTATCTTTATGATTTCTAATTTATATTTCATTTTTATGTAGACTTGAAGGTTTGAAGCAAATGAATTATTGATATGAATCATCGAAGTTTTACTAGTAATATTTACTTTTTAGTATTTGTATTTGACAACTTATTATTTATATGTTATTAAATTAGATTACGTTAATTTGTAAAAGTTAAGATTGAACTTGGTATTTGTATCTACTTTTTGTTATTAATATTAGTATCTACTTTCAGGTGTATTTATGTAGTATTATTCTAAATGTTAAAAAATTTAATTATAGTACAGAACCAAACAGAACCGAATCAAACCGAACCCGAACGGTTCCAAAATTATATTTGGAACCGACGATTCCATTTACTAAATACCCGAAAATTTCTGGAATCGAACAAAATCGAACTGAACGTACCCACAGAACCCTATGTTGGGTTCTCACATTTGGAGAGAACCCAACGTTGGGTTCTCATGCCACATCAGCAGATGGACAGTCTTATTCTGCCCACCGTGAGCAGGAGAACAATTCCATCTAGTGATATAATGTACACAATGCCCTAACATGTTCAAAATACTCATCACGGTGTCACATTACAACTAGTCAAAAGAAAATATAGTCTAGGTACAAGTGCTAACTGGTATCAGTGTAGCATTAAATTTACCTCTTACCTGTCGAGAATCTGGGGACTTCATATTTGATAGCAAAATGGACGTTAACGGAGGAGAACTCACTTCTTCCATTTTGTCTTCAAATTGATAAGATTCAAACAGCTTCCCTGCATGTATAGCCATTGCTTTCTGTTGACTAGAGTGCACGGATAAACATTGCCGAACAGTTGCTGGAGGAAGTGGAAGTGGAGACCCCATTTTTGGTGATGGCAAAGGACTCGTATTTCTTGGAGACACTTCTTGATTCCTGTTGACAAGGGGGGAAGAGTGCCCAAATACAGCAGAAGTTTGCACGGTCTTGGAGCCTAAGAAATCAGGGGGCCTGGGGAGCTCGTGAAGCTCATTTATTTTTGGTGAAGATGCAACAGGGAGAGAAGTACTGTAGGAGACATTGGTAGATAAAGCCGGCTGGGGGAGAGGTAAGCGAGAAAATAATCCAGAAACCATTTGAGGTGATTCAGTAGAGCCAATGGGTCCACTGGTAGATGACAGTGGCTTGTTATATGATGGTTTACTTGTCAACGGACCAGAAATAGCTTGTCTTTTTCGAATATCATATCTACCTTGAGTATCCCATTGTGAGACTGCAGCTCCCTCAGCCAAAGGACGAGGTAGTGGGACAAATGGACTCTTTTTATGTTCTGCGATATTGAGTGGGGATGAATGCCAAGGGTTTTTGGAGATTCTACTAATGCCTGTAGGAGTTGACAGGATGGCAGAATTACTTGTTTTTGAGGTCGAACTCTTTTCAATAGCAGGAGTTGGAAGCTCATTCATATTAAGTTTCTGCATTGCAGCCTGCATTTCTTCAAGTCTTTCAGAAGCATCAAACTTCCCTGAATATATTGGAGCTGAATGACTACTTTCTCGAGGTCGTGGACAGGGAATTTTCTCCACTTGCTTTTTTCCAAAATTTATCTGCATAAAATCATATGATATAAACAGTAGAAGCCTGAAAATAGTCATTTAAGGTCAGAATGAATCGTGATTTGATAATTGAAATGCAGAGAAAATATGATTTAAGTAGCCTAATTAAAATTACCAAAAAAATTTCCCTCATTGAGACATGTTAACTGACCTATAATGCTAGTCCCTCTTATTGTGCTACTCCTACTCCTAGGACCGGAAGAAGATAAGAAAAGGCAAAGCATTCTCCTAGAACAGGTTGTTCCATCTCAATACCAATGGGAACACGTTCATCTTCAAAGTATTTTTCCTTTCCAATATTTTTCTATTGCTCTCAAAGAGACGTGTTAGCTGACCTTTGTCAAACAATATATGCAACGCCCCGAGATCTCAATCCCAAGTGTTAACTTTGCACTTGAACTACATTGGAAAATCTGGAGTATTACAGTATATTTCGATGAAATTTTTCTCACTTCACCAGAAACCAAACTATTATATACTGGGCTAAGGCAAAACATATATTTGGATGCACTTGGTCACAGATTTCTAAGGTATGTTGATATTGTTTTCAGTAATCATTTACTTGTTTCTATGAACTGTCGATTGCAGATGAAAGAATTACCAATTACCCAAGAGGCAGAAACACATTGCATAATTACTAGTGGCATCCCAGGGTCATTAGAAGTGTGTGATTATACTCTGGATAGTATTTGGTTTCGACAACTCAGAGCCAAGGGGATTCCAGAATTATACAGGTTAAAAGAGATGAAGTAGCTCTTTGAAAAAGAAAAACATAAAAGAAAAGGGTTTTGAGAAATAAACATTATCATAGGGTAATGATTCAAGTAGAATCTGAGGCAGAATGATAGCAAGCAACCTACATGCATTGAACTCTTTGATGTATAATCATTTTCTAGCTCCTCAGTTTGTTGATGGTCAAAACTTATTTCTCCGTCATCATTAGCCTGGAAACTGTTCCTTTCATCATGTGAGACTTCCACATCATCCGACCCACATAGCTTGTAATCAATATGTTGCTTTCTGGCAACAAATTCGATATGTGGCTCTACTGCTTCAAGAGTAAGAAAACCTCTCCGGAAAAGATTTAACTGCTTACAGGAAATAAATGATAAAAGATAAGCATTTGACTAGCAGAAAAGTTGAAAAGCATTCTGACATTTGAATTCATCAAAACTTGATAATACCTGTGCAGCATGGTGACGAGCTGCCTGTGTTAAAAGACTCCGGGATTGCCCTTGCTTCAATGATTCAAGACGAAAAACACAAAGCCTTGAAGCCTCATCATATTCTTCACGAGCAACCTGCAATTGCTGTGAAGTAAAATTCTGCCCTTTTCCATATCTTGACCTTCCCTTTTCTCTATTTTGTCCCACCATGCATTCAAACATCTCTCTGCATATCATTTATGCAATCACTAAATGTGACACAATCGTATACATCGTCTAAGTTTATGGATAAATCAAAATGGATACCTCTTCTCATCACATTGCAATTTCATCTCCTGCACCCGCAAAGAAAGGAAAAAATGCACCTCAAACAGTCCAAGAAAAATGATACGGAATAGAATTTCATTGAATTGCAAAATGATTTACGTGATTTATCACTAAAGATGATTGGAAGGTTTAAACGCAATCAATGAAGCACCACTGTTAGTTCTTTTTCTTAGGGTTGGTCCTGGAATGGTGTGGGTGGTTGGTAGAGTCATCAACTAAAAATTATCTTAAGCTCGTTGGAACATATTTGATTGAACAATTCTCAACTAATTCTTGACTATACAATTCATATTTTTGTATCATACATCGGGAAGTACAAGTTGTCAGAAAACACGATCCTATTCACCAACAACCAACCTAAAAAATGAAGGCAGGAAAAATAAAGAAGCTAAAAAATAAGGGGAAATGTAAATAAAAATTCATTCAGAGAACCAACCATCAAAAAGTGATACCACTTTTTCTTTTTAATGATGACAAGCATGTAGATATTTGTCATCTAAGCTTGAAAAACAAGTTCTACCTAGCTCAGCAACATTCAGTAAGTCTTAAACATGTCATGCACTGGCAATGTCTACTATCTTAATAAAATCGAATCAGGTCCTTGAAGTTTCATTTTGAGCTCTTTGCCCTATAAGCAGCTACTTCTGCAAATATTTACTTTTAATAGAAAATTCTTATGTCTTTATACTGTAAAAATAATGAAATTAGCATAGATAATCTTTTCTATCTCAATTTACACAACTGATTGGATCAATAATACAAAAAGCATATTGCTGGCTAAGAATATACGATACTAGGCCTACTCTGCAAACCATACTTTACAAGAATGCCTGCAGGACTAATACTCGACCTACCACATATGAGGTCCTTGAACTAAAGAAAGCCATTTATTTTGGGCAGAACCCCCTCACCTCAGCATGTTTTAAGATTAAGGACGTTCCAGATACAGATCCTTAGATAATAAGACTGAATACACTAGAATGATAGTCAGAAAACCAGGTTGAATACATTGGTAATGTGATACACTAACCTCCACTTTCCGCAGCTCACTGAGAAGCGACTCGGAAGGGTTTGTTATTGTACAGATTATATGAGACCGCTGTGAGGTAGAGAAAACAAGTGAGGACCAAGTTCTAAAGTACATAGGATACTGTCAAAGAGTGACAACACTAAACACCGACATAGCTATCAAGAAGTTTTTGGAGTTGAAGCTGCACGCCTCCCAGCATAAATAATGCTCTGCCTGCATCGATATGCAAAAGAAAATGATAATTAACTATGCTTTTCAAATTTGTAGGAATCAAAGGAAATTTCAGATAGTCACAAGTCATTAACTTATCTAGGCATCAAAATGCAAAAAAAATTGAGTCAAACATAAGATTTAAGCCCTTGTTTGGTTTAGCTAAAAAAAAGTTCATAAAAATCTAAGTCAAAGTCAACAATTTATTTTAACCACGCATTTTTTGGGACCGCAACTTTTCAACCACACATTTCATCAATTTTTAACAAAACCTCCTAAAATTTTGATTATTAGTTAAACCAAACAGAGGCTAAATCAGATAATTTTCTTAAGAAAAGGAAGAATCAAACAAAGAATAAAACAGATATTAGATTCTAGAATTCAGCAATATGTTAAAATCCTGACACCAAAACATGTGAATCAGTCATTTGAAGCGATTGTACCTAAACAATAACTCAAGCAACTTTTAGAAGGCAAAGCCATCATTTATGATTGCTCCCAAAAAGAGAACTGGTTCACTCACCACTTTCTCCAATATCATTTATAGCAGTTTTCTCCCGTAGACAGTTTCCCATCTCCAGCAATGACTCCGAAAACTCTGAAAAGGGAAACAATCTGATTATATAATTCATAATGGAATTACGGAATTATGTTACATAAAGATAAAGCAAGAGGCATCAATCTCTTTTGTAACGTTAGCTATTACATCACATCAAGTATCTACCATAAGCACTATTTGCTGTAGCAGCAGCTGCAGACAGTAATCTATCGTGCCAAGCTCTCATGTCTTTCATGTCCTGCAAATAAAAAGCATCGGACAGAAGCATAATAAGATTCCAAGAAGTATATGAATAACATTACAGTAATAAGTAGAGCTCTAACAACTGCCAATCTAAACACAAAATTGACATGGGAAAATGTACGTACAATAATCACTCCTTTTACACATAACTACAATTTTGTTAATGAGTTTTACAACTTTCCCTTTGCTACCGATGGTTCATTCAAACAATGAAATTAAAGTCCAATTACTCAAAGCAATTTAAGTATGGTATACATGATCTAAAACTGAATCATTGCCTAATAATCTGCAACTAAGATAAGGGGTGAAAGCCTATGTGGGAAATTAAATTGACATTTCCTTATTTCAGATTTCGTCTATGATATATGGCCATTTTCCCGAAAAGCTATAACTGATAGAAGATGCGCAATCTAGCCCTAGATCGTCTATAAGCAGACCCATGAATCCACCCCAAGCAATATTGGTTTAGACCTTTACATGGAATTAGACTGATGCTCTAATTCGCGAATTGTGATATAATGTCAAATATTTAGTGTGGAATTGCACAGAGCCGCCCATTCAATTTACAGGATTATGCCATCAAAATTAACTTCATAGTCAATGCACTGTGTTCATAAACAATTCTCAAATCAATTACACCATATTGTATAAGCGGGAAAAAAAATAACCATAAGAGATAACCTTTGCAGCTTGAGACAGCCCATCTGTACTCAGAGCACGGCGATCCCAATTTTCCTTGAGCTCGATTTTATGCAGCGTCAAATTTCTCAGCTTCCTCAAAGGAGACTTCATTTGTCCGAATCATTCAAAAATTCATACGCAATGCAATGTGTTATATATAATTTTTTTTCAGCCCAAAGCAGCTTTCTCTCCTGTCTCCCTTTGTCCAATATTTTACAGTTGAATTAAAGTCGCATGAATTCCTGCGACTTTTCTTCATCAGGTGTCGTAAATTCGCAAATATTGGTTGACAGTTTCGCTACACGTGGCAGGAAATTGTGGTGTTATAGGAACTTCTCTCTAATTGGCTCGCTAAAGAGAGAAGAAAAATGTAATTAAATTAATTCTTTTATTAATTATAATTTATAAAACTTTACGTGTTAACTTAGACGGCTAATTTGACTAAAGATAACTAAAATATTGATTCATCACTCAACTTTAAGAAATATTTCATTCAAATTACTTGCTAAATCTGATGTCCATTCAATTGAACATTCTTCATATTCAGATGCTAACTCAAAAGATTTAAAAGGGCATTCCAATAGCTCATTTTCGTCCAAGGAAATGTAAAATTCGCACGGGATGGCAAAAAAGTTACATAAGTGGACTCCACCACAAGCCAATGAATAGAGTAGTGTCGGATCTAGGATTTCAGGATGACGAGAACTTCATAAATTGAGCTCCTAATAGATTGTCCGACAATAGTATGATTTCTCTTTTTTTTGAATGACATGAAAATATGTAGAAATCTTGTTCGATGGTTTTTCTTCTTTTTCATTTATTAGATGGATTACATTTAATTTTTGTTCACATCTATACAATATTTTTGTATATTCAGGCCCTGTTTGAGTCAAATTATTGTAAAATGAGAATGAAAAATATAGTCGTTATTGGGGCCCACATAAGAGATAGAAAATTTGAATTTAAATTGATGTGATGGATAACGGTCATATTTTTCATTTTAATGAGGTGATAATGTAGATCAAACCGGGGCTAAATGTTAAAAAAATGTAATATTTTTTTGTGAACCACTTGTTAATTGATTGTTCTGCACTATTTAATCTATAAGTGTGGAGGAGTAGATGCTATGTTATGTTGTTTGATTTTTTATTTTTATTTTTTTGGTACTTTTGAATTGTCTATGTTTTCATGCAATTTTGAATTATTATGATAACAAATTTCAAAAATATATGGCGTTAACGTGTCCAGTGGTTTGAAACTGTGGTTTAACTTTGAATCTGAAATATAGAATTTCTAAAGGGGAGAAGAAAATTCAAACTGGGTTTTGCACATAATCTCAAGTTTGATGGGTGAATAACGAAAAGGGAAAAGAAATTTCGAACTCGATTTTGTACATAATCTCTAGTTTAATGGGTGAAATAACGATATTTCACTTGTCAAATATCAAATTTTGTAAATATTTCATGAGTTGGTATGTCAAATCTCAAGTTTGCTATACAAAAGTTGAGTATAATGAACAAATATTGAGTTTGCTCTGCAAATCTCGAGTTTACTTGTTCACTTAACTTTAAACGCACATAACTTTTAATCATAAATTCAAACATTAACTTCAAGATTGAAATTAAGATTTAAGAGAGAATTTCTACATTTTCATTACTTCTCCACTTGTTCTACTTTTTTGTTCAAAAGATGCTAATTCATGCGACAAAACCCCCTTTTATAATTTTTGCCGTGCTCTTCTTTTAGATCCAAAAGTTAGTATTTTTTTTCAAAAAAGTCGTGTAACTTTTTTTATCTTAAGAATTGATGTTCCATAATACAAACAATAATGAAAACACGGATTCAAAGAACTTGAAAAACTAAAAATTATTACAAAAAATCGTAAAAATATGCCTCCTTACAAGCAGGGGCGGAGGGGAGGGGGGTCCCCCAAATTTTTGAAAAAAAAAATTTTTTTTTATTTTTTTATTTTATTTTTTGGCCTCAAATTTTTTTTTTTTTTATCTCCTAATTCAGCCCATTCAGTTGTTTATGAAGTTGTATTGCTTATCAATTATGAGTGAAAGTTTCCTCAATCCTCAGGGTCAGTGATGGAGAGGTATTTCAAAAGATTAGTAGTTTTTTTTATATGTTTCTTGATTTTTTTGTGAAGTCTTCGTACATTAATTTATGTTCATTTGTTTCATTTTTCTATCACAAAGTACCAACTTTCCTCATTTTAATAGGTAATATTTCAAAAAAAACCATTTTTTTTAATATCAATATATTGAAGTACAAAATAATGTCGACCCCCCACCCCACAAGGTCAGATTAATTTTTTTTATTTTTTTTATTTTTTGTAGATGGCTTTCCAATATATAAACAGTAGTTAAAATTTTAAAATATAGAGGAAAGGAATGGGAATAATTTAATGTAACAAAAAAGAAAGAAAAATATTAGTTGGAAAAGTCAATGGTCAAAGGGTGTACATTGTATGCGCAAAATTTTCACTTTGTGGGCGGTTTGAAGTTTGACCAAATGCCGGTGGTTAATGTCAATATTATCGACTACGTGATAGAGTTTGGAGAATATAATATGTTACTTCTTGATTTTTCTTATTTTTTTTATCCCAGTTATACAGTATTTTTTGGTTGGGAATGTTTTATTTTGTTCATTTACTCATATCTTCTTATTTAATTTACCTAATTATAACCAAATTTTTTTTTATCTAATTTTGAAATTGTACAAATATAAAGATACATACTTCTTTAAAATCAAATCATTTAATTTCTTTACTACTTCCAACAATAAATTACTACTAGTTGTTGATAATTATATAAGGCTAAATCATGAATATTTTTTGGCAAAAATTATTTTTTCAATAATATTAAATAAGGTTTTTTAATCCGTGTGAAAAATAAAATCAGCTTATATAAAGAAAACAAAGGGAATCTATATTAAATCCAGGTTTGATTTAGCTAAAAATTAAAGTCCTGTTTGATGCCCTTTTTTTGGAATAAATATATTTAGAAATAGTGATTGTTTGGAGAACGTATGATTAAAAAATTAAGAAAAGATTTTCATTTTACGTGTAAAATTATTTTATGGGAAAATATGTGGTTGAAAATAGGTTTTAAAAAAATGGAACTCAAATGAGGGACATTTCTAATAAATTTTAATTAAAATTAATGAAATATATGATTAATAAGTTATGATTCTATAATTACTAAATAGGCTTATTGGCACAAAACATCCCCACGTTTGATTTTTTTTTTTTTTTTTTTTTTGCATTTTACCCCTTATTTTGAAGTTTCATTGCGAAAAACGTCATTTTCACTGTTTTTAATGTAAAATGACCAATATACCCTCATATTTAAANTCAATTTTTAATGTAAAATGACCAATATACCCTACAATTTAAATAAAACAATAAAATAAAATAAAATAAAAAATAAAATGCAATTATACTCCCAAACTTTTTAAAAAGTGTAAATGAGTCCAAAAGCCTTATTAAAAAGTTTAAGCATAAAACATTCATACGTTTGACACTTATTATGGAAAATGTCCTTACATTTCAAACTTTTTGTACTGGTTGAATAGTACAAAACGTCTCTATATTTGACACTTATTGTGTAAATTGTTATGTACATATAGTACAACCATACATAAATACAAACACATATATGAATGTTTGATATTCTCAAATCAATCACCATATTATAATGACATATTAATAATAATAGATCTTACATGGATTGAAAATAAAACAATAATGAACATATAAAGACACCAAGTCGAAACAAGATTACATTGGGGGTGTTTTCGTATATGTTGATGGAGTCGAATGGACTATCCGGTTACAAAATATGGCCAAACACTGTTCCGATAGTTTGGGAGGCAGGTAAGCGGGCCTGGGCTTTGCGTATTAAATATTGAAGGCAAAAGTGTATCAACCCAGTAGTAAAAAAATGAAAAATAAAAAATAAAATTGTCTTCCTTGACTAAATTTTAGTTTTAGTTTTTTATTTTATAATTCTTCGTGTTGTTCACAAGAGTCATCATTTTTAATTGCCAAATATAGATACTTTGGTTATGTATTTTTATAATGCTTGTAGTAAGTTGACAGTCAAACAACAATCGTTGAATTAATTAATTAAATGCTAATTCTTTTCTTAAAATCAAACTGTGGAACTTGGCATTAACAGGATCCATCAGAAAACTTATAAAATTTTGACAATAAATTGAATGAAAATATATTTTTCTAAACGAACAAAAAAGTTTCAGTCATCAAATACGTACCTATGAAAATAGCCGGTGATGATACCAAAAATCATTTATGTGAATACACGGACCCAAGATTATGGTTCAACAAGAGTGAGACAAAATTACGTAAAAATTATGGGTTAAAATTATGGGCTAAAATTATGTGAACTTTTATTTCAATGTCAAAAAATTAAAGGTTTAATATAATTGTCCCCACTGGACCCTTAATGGGTCCGCCGCTAATTACAACAATGGATCTTCCACTTGAAACAAAGGTTGCGACGACGATTTCAATGACCCTCCAATGTGTAAATTAGAAAAGACGAGACTTCCTAATGTGTGTGTAAGAATTGTGTACTTTGTATGTGTCCTATTTATAAAAATGTGGCACTATAAGGATCAAACTCATATTGATCGCCTCGACCTGATTTGTAGCTATTCACATGAGTTTTGATATACAAACATAATGCTTGACATAGGGGATGACACAACACACACATGGGGAGGTCAGCATTATTTAATTCAGGTCGGGACTCACATGCAATGTGACTGGTCGATCAACCCCTATGTCAAACATTATGTTCATTTAACTTAATTATATTCAGATTCTAGATTCTAAGATTTGAGTCTCCTTTCGAGGTATGCTCTCAAAGACAATCGTAGTTGTTGACCTCGAAAAATGGCTCTGACACGTGGCCAACAGAAAATGTCTTCAACTCAGCTCCTCTTGCACACGTGGCACGTCGTTAGTCACTCGTAGCCTTTCTCGAAGGGGTTGGGAGTGGCCACAAGCACTTCAACGATCAAGTCAGTTAAAGTTCAACCGGAAAAAGGTTCACCGATGGTAGGACACTCGCCGAGAAGTGATT